AATCAATGTGCACCCCCCTAGCTCCCATTTCTACATTAGAGCAAAGAGCTGCTATAAATATTTTTATGTGCTATCTTTTCTACTTTCTTTGATCTCTCCAGGATATAGACCTAGACCTGGTAGTGGAATAACGAGGCCAGAGGAGATACACAGTTCGGATTCTTTGGTGGTAGTTTTAACATATATGCACAACATAATATGTGTGTGTGTATGTATACACACATGCGCGCACATGTGTGTATATGTGTATACACATGTATGTTTATACATATACACATGAACACATTTATTGTTGTCCCTGGATGAATTTTATTGTAAAATTTTATTACAATGTAAACTAGGGAAATTGATCTGTAGCATCTCTTTCTCTGTTTTGTTTCTGATTTGTTTGTTTAAAAGACATATTTAACTCACAAAAGGTAAAGTATCTTCTCACTCTAAATTTAAGAATTATTTTCACTGCACAGATATGAATTGTTCTATTTTTTTTAAGTCACTTGTAACCCCATCAGATTTCCTTTATGAACTGTACACTTTCTTCTTCTGAAACTGCATTAAGATCTCTATTTCCTATTCTGTTAATTTAGGCATTTTATATTTTTGCAGATTTTCAATGCCTTCATTTGAATTCTCAGTTTTTCTGGAATGTAACAGGGCATAGTAGTTGCCTGATAATCCTTTTTTCTATGTGTTGTCACTTTCAAAAAATTGATAATATTATTTTCCTCTCTTTGTTATGTGTTCAAGTTAGCCAATAGTTCATTAAGTTTATTAGATTTTATAGTAACATTAATCAATTCTAAATTTCTAATATTTTTGGGTTTCTCTTGTCATTTTCAAGATTTTTTCATTACTCCTTTTTTAGGGTTGTTAATGTACTTTCTATACCTTTTACACATGCTCAGTTCATTCAATTGATTTTTCTATTTTTGTTAACATACATTTCAGAGATATACATTTCCCTCTTAGGATTACTTTAGATACATCCCATAAATTTTAGCATGAAGTCTCTTTATTATCATTGTTTTTAACAAAATCTATTATTATTCCTATAATTTGTTTTTTGACACCTAATGTTTTCAATAGAATTCCTTAAGTCTCCATTTAGATCTGTATCTCTTGCTTATATTTTATTAATTACCATTTTATTGCAATATGGTTATATATGATATATTTATTACTTCTGCATTTAAAAATCTGCCAGTGATTCCTTTATACCCCAGTATCTGATTGATTTTTGTAAATGTACCAAAGGATACTGAGAGATACACATGTTCTTACATATTCTCCAGAAGAAGTCACATTTTTCCAACAAATCATTCAGCTCTATAAATTTGCCTTTCTGTTAGATTTATTCAGATATGAAAGAGTTACTAAAGCCAGCTGTGATTATTATCATCAGTGTGTTTTTTGTAATTCACATAGCTTTTTCTTTTTTTAAATTAAGATGTTACGTCATTTGATGAATCATACATCCAATAATATTACCTTTTTATTATACATGATGCCTTAAAGTAAAATGTATATGGTAACTCTCATTATCTAAGTATTTATTAAAAATATCTGCAGTTATAAAGGTTGTATTTTGTTTAGGTCAATTACTATTATTCACTTGTACAGGGAAATTCCAAAGAGAAAACTCCCTCCATCAGTACAACTCAGCAAATACTCTATAATTCTAGTCTTAGAATACTATTTTGGACAGCCTAGAATTTAAGTAACTTCTCCAGGTCTTTCTGACTCTGCTGCTGACTCTTTTTCCAGGATGCTCCGCTGTCTCCCAATGAAGTTGTATAAGTAAGCAGAAATCACTATAACACAGAAATATACTAAATACACATAAAATTAGTTCTAACTAAATAAAACACACCTCCCCACATAAGTCTAGCGTTTACCCCTCCCTATCATATCAATGGATAGGTGTCTCAAAAGTCTCAGTGCAGTTTTAATAGCTTAAAACTTATTAAGCATACAAGAATAGATTTAGTAACTTTAAAATGCACTGACAATTTTGGCACAACCTGTAGTTGCTGGTCAGTCTCTCTTATTACTGATTATTGAGGATCTCTTCAAAACAATTATTTGCATATCAAAGAATTATGAGGTTACTGGAAAAGTTTATTAAATCCCTGAATTTTTTCAAACAATATCTTTATGGAGTGAAAGATAAATGTGAAATAACATTACCTTACACTGTCATAGTTTTGTTGGAAAATTACACCAAAAACATAAATACTTGATTTTTTTTCTTGGTCGTTTTAAGAATTGGTGCAGTTGTAATTATACTCTACATTTTGTTAAATATAAAGTAAACTTCTTTTCATAATTTTTAATTTCCATTTTAAAGATACTATTTTAATCAATTCCACACCCCACTACTTACTATGAAAAGTTGATCCTAGTTTTACATATTCTTCCTTTGATAATCCTCTAGTAACTACCCTGTTTGTCTCTTTTCACATGACACTAAAAGCTTTTATGGAAGCCTTAGCTGAAATCATGCTTACAACTGTTGCTTTTTCAGAATTACCTGATTGCTCAGCAATTTTGTTCCATTCCTTCATTTAGAATTTGCGCTATCAGTTTTAAATGTTTCTTAAATGAAACAAACTGTTTCAGGTGTTTTTACCCATTTCTTTGTTCTTATTTTATTAGGTAATTTAATCCATCCATATTTAAGAATATCAAAGTATCCTCCCATGAATTCCTCTTTTACTTCACATTGCATTGTCTGATCCAAAATTCTTGGGAGTTTTCTTTGTAACTTTCTAATCTGTTTTACTCTTTCTTCTTGCAAGTTAAGTAAGAATGCTCTAGGGAACACTCCCAGAAACTTCCTACCCAGCATCTAATCTATTCTCTTAATTTCTGTAACATTAACATATAATGCCCCTTCCCCAAAATGCTGCTTTTATTCTATTCCTTGTCTTACTCTTTTCTCCTTCTGGGATAACACTGTAGAATCCATTCCTTGGGCTACAGTGGTTTGTTCTTCATAACCCGTGCTCAAGGAGGCTAGTACTGTTCATTTGTTTCTAAAGTTTCAGCAACAAATAAAGCACCATGCTTCCTACAAAAGTGTTACAAATGACAGCTGGAAGATGTCTACTTTGTGGTCTATTCTCTTAGTTTCAAAAAATGGACATCCTTCTAGCAGCAGCTGTCTTGTGTTTCTTCCATCAAAGTCTAGTCCCAGTGTTTTATCATGGCTTGAGACAGACACTAGGTTTTCCAACTATTGTGTTGTTGTTCACTCATTTTTCAGTCGCATCCAACTCTTTCATGACCCTTTGAAACTGGGTTTTCTTGACAAAGATACTGCATTTCCTGACATTTCCTTCTCTATCTCATTTTACAAATGAGGAAACTAAGACAAATGGGGTTAAGTGACTTGTCCACCGTCACACAGAAAGATGAGTCTTCTCTTGACTCCATGCCCACCATTCTATTCACTGCACCACACACAACAGAATGCTAACTCTGGCTACTTAAAAGCTGGACAGGTTTAAAATGTTGGCCCACTAACAGACTCCATGTCTACTACTATTCAAGGAGGATAGAGCAAAGGTTCTATCACATTGGCTAAAATGGCATGAATTTTTCAAATACAGCAAATCTTGAAGATTTTTTTACCAAGTTATAGAAGGGCGGAGACCTGCTTTGGTGCAAGAGCTAACCACACCGAGAGAACTATGGATCTCAGAAGTACAGAAGGATTTTTTTGTTTGCAAAGCTTCGGGTTTCTTATTCCTAACTTTTAAATAGGCTACTTCATAATTCTCTCAAAAACACAAAATCCAAAACAAAAACAAAAACAAAATCCTCACTAAGTTAAGCTGCATTTTATAAATAAGTCCCTTGATTGATTTTATTGAGGCTCTTGATAAAAATACTTCTGTTCCAAGGAAAGCTGCTGATGCAGGGAAAACATTTAATACATAGTATTTACAATTTTGACCAACTAATCTAAGGCAGGTTGAAATACCATCCTATCAGCTTCCCAACTGAACAAAAACAAAAATCAAAACAATTATGAAGCAAGAAATAAAAGTTTATAATGTACAGCAAACATCATGATAGAATAAAATGCGGACATATACAATGGTAAAGCCAGTGAAATAAACCAATAAATTTTAATCTATATAACATAATTCTTGGAGCAGCTAGGTGGCACAGTGGATAGAGTAACAGACTTAGGGTCAGGAGGACCTGGGTTCATATCCGGCCTCAGACACTTACTAGCTATGTGACCCTGGGCAAGTACTTAACTCTGTCTATGTCAGTGCCTCATCTGTAAAATGAGCTAGAGAAGGAAATGGCCAGATACTGCCAAGAAAATCCCAAATGGAGACAGACAGGAGTTGGACATGACTAAAAAGAATCGGCAACAACCAACATAATTCTTAATACAAAAATAAAATTGTGCATGAACCAATTTCCTCAAAGATTACATATGGAAAGAAGAATGATAAAAAGGGGCCAAATGTGTCAAGAGAGGAAGACAAGACTAATATTTAGTTTAAAATGCTGAAGGAAAAGCCTAGATTGCAAAATGGGTGACTATAAGAGATAAGAGCTTCAAGAAAGCGGCAAAAATCTGTTTGTTTAACCCTGTCAGAAAGACAGGATAACAAACTAGATGGGTTTTGGGGGATTACTCTCAGTTCTTTAATTTTCACCTGGAAAAAATATAGTTTCTTGCCTGAAAAATTAAATAAAATATTAAGATATTTAATCTAGTAACCATGTATTTTGTAGGAATAATTCTGCATTAACAGAGTATTGAACTACATGATTTAGACATTTTTTCCTTTTTGTTTCTTACAGCACAAAATCATTGTAAATAAAATACAGTTAAAAATTTTACGTTTCATAGCAATGTAACACTATGTATAATTAGACAATGAAGAAAACTGTGTTAATCCTCCAAATGTATCTAACTTAATATTTCAAATAGTTAAATGAGAAACAGTTCAACTAAAACATGACTTGAAACTTACCCCATCTGGCAGTGCCCTCCAACAAACAGCACTAACAAATTCATTTGTGTCATCCTCTTTCCGGTCCTTGTCTAAGACACTTTTAACTGTATCGAACTTAAAAGTCAGCAACGTCTTTGAAAGGCCTTTGTAGTATAAGTAAAGGGAATTATTTTCACTTCCTGGAAATAAAAGCACAAATTATTTTTAGAATGGGAGAACTCTTAATAAACAGTCATTACCTACACAAACTATGACTAGAAAGTATATGGAAAGGAGTAGCATGAAACAGGTCTGGGAAGGCAAGATGAAGCCAGTCTGTGAAGGGCTTTAAAAATGCTAACTAGGAGTGTACATTTCTTTTCAGAGGCAATAATGAGCCACTGGAAGAGATTTCTTTTTTTTTTTTATTTTTAGGCAATTGGGGTTAAGTGACTTGCCCAGGGTCACACAGCTAGTAAGTGTCAAGTGTTTGGTCTGAGGCCAGATTTGAACTCAGGTACTCCTGACTTCAGGGACAGTGCTCCATTCACTGCGCCATCTAGCTGCCCCTAGTGGAAGAGACTTCTAAGCACAGAAATGACACGGTCTGACCTGTGTTTTAGGTATATTACTTTAGAAGCTCTGTGGAACATAAGCTGGAAAGAAGAAAGACTTGAGGCAAGAAGACCAATTAGGAAACCGGGGAAGAAGTGATGAGAGCTTGGAATAAAATGGTAGTGTTAGGAGAGGGGAAAAAAGAGGCTGAATGCAGGAGAGGCTGTGGAGACACAATGGACACTTGGCTATTTTTTGGCTATAGGATGTCAAAAAGGGGGAAAATGAGATCATTTCAACAGATTATTCAAGTCCATTCTTCTCATTTTACTTAAAATTGGGTGAACTGCATTCTTTGTCCTTTTTAAGACATCAGGCAGGCAGGTGACACTGATTTTTTAAAACCTACTTACAGCTGATACATTTTATTTTAATATGGTAAACACTTCCCAGATGCCTCACAAAGTATGGTTTCTTGAAAACAGTTAAGAAAAATGCCAAATACAGTAATAGCAAGTGGTTTATACTGTAGACTTTAAAGGAAAAGTCCCTCAATGTAGGGAATAATTCCTTTAGACCAGGGCTTCTTAAATATTTTCCACTCACGACCCATATGGGGTAGTGACACACAGTTTAAAGAAGCACTACGGTTTAGACAACAGTTAACTACTAGTTATCTGGAAGGGATCTCAGAGATCATCTAGCCCAAAAACCATTTTATAGATGTTCTATGGGGTCCCTGAAACAAAAACGACTGCAAGTTAAATAAAAATAAAGAGTGAATTTATGAGGAAGATATTATGCAGGGCTACCTTAGGGTCAGAGCTCAACTAGTCAAGCTTCAAAATGGTTTTCTTGTTTTGCTGTGGATTGTCACTAAGGGGATAAATTCCAATTCTATGGAAGCCCAATCCACCCAGTGGTTCTGTGAAAAATATATTGTTCACATTTTATGTGCAATAAAGTGGATAAACTTTACAGAAGTCCCCAAGTTCTCTATCAAGACTTTATTTATTGATTTTACATATGATTTTAAAGAAACACAGTCATACAAACATTTGACAAACATGGTTATATTTGTCCCAGTTTCCTAGGGCAGTGGATTAGTAGCAATGAATTAGGTGATAGATCCTGAAAATACTAAGAGATAAACTGTTATATATACCAAGAGAAATGAAAAATAATCATAACTGACAATGAAGGAAAACAAACTATAAAATAAGGAATTAAAAAACAAACAAAAAAAGCACAGCAGTCTGGAGTCAATAATACAAAGTTAAACAGTCTGCATGCCCAACAATTAGTAAAGATGATCTTTATCAATAAAAAGCTAAAAATATTTTAAGGTAACTCAGCTGTAGAAGGCAAAGAAGATTGATGAACTTCTCTATCTGCCCATTCCATGTCAAAACCACAATGTAAAGGAATTATGAGGCAGATAAAGAATAAGTAAAGCTAAATATGTAAGATAAGATGGCAGAAATACCACAGGAGGGAATAACCTCATAAATAGCACTGGAGGCCTTAAATACATAACAAGTTTCTCCCACTCAATAACTCATCCCCACATCAGATACATATAAGTAAAAGTGATCTTGCAGGCTTGTGTTTCAAGGTTAACTATGAGGGTCCCTGCCCTGTCCCCTTATGAATGACTCAGTCTTAATGCCCTTGCACACCACTAAAAACAATGGAGAATGATTTTGTTTACCTACCCAAAGGAAGGGGAAAGCAACTGGAAAAGGAAGGCTGGTATGGAGAAATACATGAGAAAGAGCTTCTATCCAAAGAAAAAAGATAAGAAAAGCAGTTGGGGTCAGCACTATCTCTGAAACATAAAGCGGAGGTGCCAAAAAAACATGGGACAAAAACAGAGACAACTAACTGAGAAAAGGGGAGAAAAGTGGAAAGACCAAAATACTAAGGCTCAAGTAAAAAGCTAGCTCATAAATAAACTAAGAGAACAGCTTCTAAAAGCAGAAGAATTAAGTAAAAACTGAAAGTGTGGTCAAAACCATGAAAAAGTATACCATGAAGGAAAATGAGCATATTCTCTGACCAAAAACAATTCTACAGACCTCCTCAGGATAATAGCAATAAATTCTGGAATAATTCAAAAGAGAAATAAACTTAAAGGGCTGGTTGGAATCAATACTTTCAATGAAAAATTGAAAAATAAAAGAAGTAAAGGTTTTGAAACATTTATTCAGCTTAGAACATAAAAATACAGAAATGGAAGAAAACAGCAGAAGAAAAACAAAAGAAAATAATGTTAGCATCAATTCTATAGAAAGTAAACAGACTAACCTCTACTATATCATGGATAACTTAATGATCATACATCTTTCAAAAAAAAAAAAACAACATGATACATAAAGAAAAACTGTGAATATGGCAGGTAATATTACAATTATAATGCCCAGAACTTTTTAAAGCAGCCATGAGAACCTTCAGCTATCAAGCAACAACTAATTCAAATATCAAGCATTACTCTGCAGTGATATGCTCAGATACTCTGTGGTGATGAGAAACAGGAAAAAAGAATGAAGTAACATATTTGAAGAGGTAAAGGAGCTCAAGTTTCAACTCATAATAACATCCTGAAAAACTGCACCTAATCAGCAATTTAAAATTTGGACCTTCAACAAGAATGGCATTTCTATAAAAATAACAGTAACAAAAATGAACAAAACAAAAAAAAAGGTGTGAGCAGAATATCAGTCCTGGATACATCACCAATGACAGAAACACAGGAAAGACAGATAAGTGTTATTATCAAAGAAAAGACTAAGCAATGAAATCAATTATTGTTTTGTCCTGAAAGAAAATATTAGTGAGGAATAAGAGAAAAAAAAAAGAGATCATCAAAAGACAAAAAAGACCTAAGGGTTAAAGTCTTAAGGGGAATTTAAAGAAGAAGGAAAGGCAGAGCAGAATTAATACTCCATAGATTAAGTCCCCTGAACCTAAGTAAATCAACATCTTCTTTGGGAGAATGGGGAAAGGGAGGTAAAATATACAGGAGTTGGGGATAAACTTCCACCAAAACAAGTGAAGGGTGAAAAATTTCTTCAGTCTCTCAAAAAGAGGTAAAATATAGAGGGGAGCTGTGAGAGAATAATATAGAAGCAATGGAGGGGAATAACTGAGATGGAAGGAATAGAAGGGGAATCTTGTCTGGAAAGGGAAAAGGGGCAAAGTGCTCATAAAGAACATTAATCCACCAGTGCCTTGTGCTGCTAATGGGGAAGAACGCTTCTATTTGTACAAGAGAGGCTGAAACTACAAGTGCCATAACTGTTTGGAAAGATTCCATTCCTAAGCAGAAGAAACATTTATTTTAAGTATAGTTTACTGTAATTTGTTTTGCTGCATGTGAAGTTGACAGCTTTTTTGAAGCATAGCCTCTTGTAGCCTCATAAATTTGGCAAAAGTGCATCCATTTCTTTTAATTTCTGAAAAAGTGTTGACACCCAGCACTCTCACCCCAAAGATAAAAGCAGCTTCTGTCAAGGTCACGCTCAAGTTACTCATTATTACTCCTGCTGAGAAAGACTGCTCATCCTAAGAAAACCACCACTTCCCAATATTGTTAATTGTATATCATCTTGAGGTTAATTATGAGAACCAGTCCATTAAAAGTTCTTCCCATCCATAGGCATCTACATCTAAGTTTGCTGAGTTTTGAATATTTCCTAAGGCTGATGGTTAATCTAGAGTGTGGAAAAGGCTACTTTTGTGTGGCCTGAGAAATTAGCCTCCAAAAAGACTATCCTCCCAGGATAGGCATGAGCCAGATGACCAATTAGCATTCTTAAATCGGTAAGAGCACTTGAAGAGTGGGAGACTGTCAGAAGTAAAGCTTTTTCACTATATGAGTATGACCAGTCTTGGCTTCAACTGCAATGCTGCCTAAGACTCAATCTGTGATTCTCTTTACGTGGATCCTAGTACCTGTATCTGCATGATGGAAGCTGGCATAGGACTAAGAGTCTGCACTTCATCTGGCCCTAAAAGGACTATCAGCTGCATTCCTACTCTTAGCACTCAGTGTCCATTAGAGTTAGTGATACAATTCATCATCGGAACAACTCATATCCTTCAATAAATCTCACCAGCAAATACTTGACTTTTATGTTGGATTTTAAATTCACATTTTAAGTGGTCTGATGACAAGTTTTACCATTTAACGATTTAGAGAACACTGGCAAATGTTGGGGAATGGAAAGGAAAGGCTCCTTCACCTCTCTATTTCTTGGAATTACCTATGTAAATCTAACACAACAGGTCAGAGTTTAAAAGACAGGGGACATTCTAATGGGCTTTCCTGAAAAGAATTTACAGATTGTTGCTGTCGTTCAGTCATTTCAGTCGAATTCAACTCTTTGTGATCCTATTGGGGGTTTTCTTAGCAAAGATACTGGAGTGGTTTGCCATTTCTTTCTCCAGCTCATTTTACAGATGAGGAAACTGAGGCAAACAGGGTCAAGTGATTTGCCCAGGGTCACACAGCTAAGAAGTGTCTGAGACCAGATTTGAACTCAGGAAGAAATGTTGGACACAACTGAAATGACTGAATATAAAAGGGAAGGCTTTCTACAGAAGGTGGGATTTTAGTTGGGACTTGAAGGAAGCCAGGGAGGTTGATAATCAAAGTAGATGACAGA